TAGTTATTTAAAAAATGGGTGCACTTTATTACATGAGAATGGAACTATCCACCTTGAACTTTGTATTCACATTATGTCTCTCCAATTCATTCTTTACTCAAAAAAAATTTTTTTGACAAGAGTGATGGTTAATAAGTTAGTATAAATTAGTTGTTAGTAACTGGAGATTCGATCCTCAAACTAGGTGAACATTCCACCTCCTCAAATGAGGCGCGCGGCCATCAAGTCGCTTTTGGTGGAGTTCACAACAGTGGTAAAATTCGAAACTCCGACCACCTCATCCAAGCACTTAAAACTTGGGGTCGAACTATTGGGTCTAAAGGCCCGACTCCATTCTTTACTCAATTGTGCTCCTTAATTCAGAGCAAGTCTGGTCATTTAAGGCCACAATACGTTCAGTATCCTTTTCTTACATAGAAGTTGATATATGCCTGTGGTAAGAGGAAAAACTCATTTCATTTACTACTCTACTTGGTCGAATAGCACCAATGTAAGAGCTCGTATTCAAACAAGCCCTCTACCATTTTGAAATAAAACCCATGATTTTTTTTTTGGTACTATAGCTGTGGGGTCTAGTCACTGTACTTGGAGTTTACCCTCCAAATTTCAAGAGGGCAATAAAGAAAGATTTTCCTCATTGATGACCTAAAAGAAAATTGTAGACAGTGACAATTCTTTTCCTAATACTACCATGTTATTTTCCTCTCAAATACTTTAATGAGGCTGACTAGACACACTCTTAACATAGAGATAGAAATTACATAAATTTTTCTAATAATTTTAGCTTTAACTGGCTATATCGTATACAAATAGCTAGAAGGGCTTAATTGGATTAAAAAATAAGTTAGTGCATCAAATTGAGAAAACTAAGAACCTGTTTAATAACGTCACTGTTTTCCCTTTTTTGTATTCTTTGTTAAAAATTTAATAATACTAATTAAAATTTAAAAAATACTAATAACTTAATAAATTATAGTTTTTAATTATCAATTTTAAAATTTCTTATTTAATAAGTTATAATTATTAAATTTTTATAACAAAAACAAAAAATGAACAAGGATAACGTTATTAAATAGGCCCTCATTACATTTCATGGGCTAATTTAGGAACTATTCCACTCTCGTAATTAATTTATTTTTTAGTACTGAGGCAAGTCGCCAAAACAGTGGCATTGTCCGCGAAGTGAGCCGAACATCTTGCAATGACAGCCACGAACTTTGTGAAAAAAAAAAAATCAAGTAGGTTCTGATTGTGCCACGTGTGAAAGTTGACTCGAAGCCCATTGAAAATCCATGAACTTGGCGATTTTTTAATTATTGGCATGAGTGAAAATTTTGTGAAAAATGAGATTCTCTCGTGCATGTGGAGCCCAAGATGCACTCCGATGCCGTGAGCGAGCTTTTGCTGGGGACATCGAGCATTACCCCTCTCCCCTATTGTAGCCTTTTTTTTAGCTTTTTCCTCTTTGATGGTATTTGGTTGTTGTCTTGTGTCACAATGCTAAGGAGCATTAGCATTTTTAACTTTTTTGATTGGGTGGCCGCTTAGACAAGCATTTAGTCATGTATGATGCAAGCATTCGCACGCTTTGGAACTTCACACAAGTGAACTCACACAACCCAACTCTTTATTATTTCGCATTTCAAATGCTCTTTCATTTATAACTATAAAATATATAAAATGGGAATTTTTTTTTTTGGAACTCATCTAGTTATACATATTTTGAAATAATAAAATCCATGATTTTAACTATAGTGATGGGGGTATTTGACCGGGTTATTTGTGATTTTTCTTTTGCATGTTTTTTATGGCTTTTGCATAAAAAAAAAAAAAAAAAAAAAAAACTCAATCTTAAGAAATAAAAAATTCGAGGATTGAAAAAATTTTTAAAGTGAAGGGATGACTTATAAGAAATAATCTACAATTTGAGATCAGATTGAAAAAAATAAGATGTAGTATGAAGATCAAAGAGTAGTTTGTCGCTTGTTGAGAGACCAAAATTGTAAAAAAACAAAATATAGCATTGTTAGATACTAAATTTAAAAGTTGAAAGACGAAAATGATAAGAAAAAAGTTTAGAGATTATTTTTGTATCAACTAACAAAGTTTAAGTGGTACTTAAACTTCTTTCTTTTTACATTTTATACCCTTCCTTTTCAATTATGAAATGAATATTGATTGATACACATTCTAATTCAATACACTATATAATATATTTATTTTAAAATTATTATTTTTGATTTGAAATTTAAAGCGAACAAACTTAAAAATGTAGTCAATGCATGTAAGAAGTAGAAACTACCTGAATTAATTATAACTTTTATTATATTTTAATAGCTGAACAAATATGAGTGTAAAGAAGTATATTAAACCGAGTATATTAAACTGAGTTATACCAATCATTTTCCTTATAAAATATATCAAATGGGAATTTTTTTAATTTTAATTAATCTTGTTGTATATATCTTCTAATAATATTAAGTATCTTTTGTTTTGCAATTTGAACAAATTAGATTGCAAAATATGAATCAATAAATTGGTGATTGACCCCAATAGATCTACCCATATCTAATGATTTAAATTATTCAGTTTAATAGAATCAAAATTAAACAACACTTTTTTGCAATATTAATTATTAGATTTATTTTTCATTCATGAGTTTTAAGGATATAAAAGTGTGAGTTTTCATATTTAATTGTATGTTTAATACCAGTTTTAACTAAAAGAATAGTGTGCATATCAATCCCTTTAAAAAAATGGAGTCCCAATTTAAAAAACAGTACCTTTGAACAAATATTTTTAAAAACCAATCATTAGATTTAATATTTTATTAATATAAATTATGCATGTCAATTTTCAATTTGATCTAATATAGATAATTATTTAATCAATAAATTTATATTTTTTAACATATATTTAATGGTGTTTAAATTTGTATAATTAATTAATTAGTTATATATATTTAATTAATATAAAAATTGATATATGATCAGTATGAATAGAATACTAAATTTAATGGTTTGTTTTCAAAAATATTCATTGACATGTGCTATTTTTGAAGATGAGGCTCTAATCTCTTTTTGCCTAAAAGACATTTTATCAATTAGCAATATCAATAATAGGACTTAAGAATTGCTTTGCATCTAGCTTCATTTGGAAACAAGGGCATGGGTCAAAAATTAGATTCTAGGAAGATCTTTGGTTGGAAGTTAGCCCTTATTACTTAGCTATCCACATTTGTTTAACTTGCCATCGTATTTAGATATACTAACTTTCAATAGTGAGTAGAATTTTTCTTGAAGGGGAACTATATTTAATAGAGAGCTTAATCAGTTAGAACATCTCAAAGTAGCCCTTAATGGAGTTCGACTTTGTAGGACTACCATACCAAATCATGTGGCAAAATAACCATTTAAGATACTCAAACAAAAGATGGTTAATAATTTCTAGATTCTACAATTTCTTACCTTAGCAATAAGACTCACAAACTTATTTGGACATCTCTCTCACTCTTTCAAAGTTCAGCTTTTTCACTTAGTGGCTATTTGGGGTTGGTGAAAAAATTCATGATAAAAAAAATATAAAATTGAGAAAACTATAATTGATGACGAATTTGATTGGGTTTTAGATTTTTTTACTAAAACCAAATTGAATTGATCTCAAACAATTTAAGTTTTGGTTGTTAAGTTTGAAAACCAAAAAATTAATAATTAGTGTGAGTATAACAAAAAATTTTGCCCCAAAACCTATTATATAATTTTTTATGGTTTCTAAATTTATTTTAGATTTTATCGCCACTTTTTACAAAATTATTTATTTACTTTGTTAATTTTAAGTTTTTAAATGATTGAAATTAATAAAATAACAAGTAATAAATGTAAAAAATATTAAAAGTGCAGAAATAATTTTTTGTTTAAAATCAAAGCCAAGCTAAATGATTATTCTAAAAAAAAGTAATTGAAATTAATGAAAGTTGTTTTTTTTTTTTCTTTCATTTTGGTTATTTTTTAAAAAATTTAACAATTGAAAATTTAATTAACCAATAATTTGATTTTAGTTGTAATTAAAATCGAATTATGCCACCCTTAGCAGCTATTACTTAAATGCCTTCCAAGCAATGTTTAAAAATCCGACCTAGTGATTGACCCATTTTGGTCATCGGGTATAATTCAATTAGTTTTACCCATCAAATCGTCAGGTTCAGTTACTTAACTTAATAAATATGATTAACTTCTTTTATTAACTATAAAATCTTTTTTACCTTAATGATTTTATTTTTAAAATTGATTGAAATCATTTTTCTATTCATTAATCCAAGTAATTATTAATTTTAAAGAGTTTATTAATAAAATAGTTTGATTTCAAATCAATTTCATTCATTAAATTTTAAATTGGTTTAATTTATTTCATTGACTAGAGTAGCCATCTATTTAACTTTCAAAATTGAATTGATTTGATTTCAAACAAATTTCTTTCTCTAAGTTGAAAAAATGATTTAATTTCAAATTATTTTTATTTTTTAAAATTGTTTCAATTTACATTTAAATTCATTCATTAGTAATGATTTGACTTTAAATATAGACTTTATAATTTAATCATTATTTTATCTATAAAATAAATAAATAGAAACAAATTAAAGAAAAATAAAACGGTGAAAAAGTTAAAAAAAAAGGGTAAAAAAGTATTAAAAAAAAGAAACTAAACCAGTTTGAGTTAACAAAGTTTTACTAGGTTTGACTAGGCTTGAGTTTGGGTAAGTGTTAACAAATTTTGACTAGGTCTTCACTTATATTAGGTTAGTGTTGTAACTCAAATTGTTTTTGAAATTAGTTATATGATCAAATCGATTGAATTGACCTGTTTGATCTAAGTTTTAAAACACTACTCTCAACTAAAGACAACCCAATTTTTGAAAGGAAATGACTTGCTGTAAAATGAAAAATGCGTGTTTTGTGAAGAGATTTTACAAGATTTAGATCATGAGTTATAACAAGATTGAAAAGTGTTGGAAGATAATTTACAATTGGTGGAGCATTTTCTTTTCTAACCCATTAGCTGTTACGTAGCTTTTCCTTCATCTAATAATTTTATAAACTCTCTCTTATAAGTTTAAGGAATAGTGTAGCCCTTGTACTCCTTTTATTATAGTTTTTATGAAGAAAAAAAAACTAAAGTTTTTTTAGAACACTATAACAGTAGTATATCCAATTTCTTTAATTAAAAAAATATATTTTTGTTTTTTTGAACTGCATTGTATTTGACCTTAATAACACTGCTTTTTTAATTAAGATTTATTTGTTAAATCAAATTTGAAATTATGGGACTAATTAATCTAAGGTTGTTAAGAACTTTAACAAATTATTTTAAGAGTTTAAAATTTATTATAAAATTAATACAAGTAGTGACAAATAGTACCGACAACCTAAAAGTGTTTTGGTAATGTAGTAACTTTGAGATTAATTAGTGTTGATAAACACCCTAACAAATTAATTTAAATATTTAGATATTATATAAAGTTGGTAAATGCTGTAATAAACTGTAATTGCAACCTCAAAGTATTATTATAGTGCGTTGGCTTTTAGACTAATCTAGTGTTGATAAACACTTGAACAAACTAATTTAGAATCTCATATAAACCTAGTGGAAGCAAAAATGACAACCCAAAATTGTTCTAAGACTAACAACAAGCCTAAGACTAACAACAACCTTAAAGGAAGTTTTGGTATAACTAGGATGCCTCAAAACATTTCAGGATATCTTAGAATGTCAAATCTTTAGCACGTTGTCCATGGCTATCTTTGCAAATTATCTTCATAGTCACGACAATCCACAAAGTGCATACGTAGCGCACTTGTTGTATTGTTGTGTTTGCTTTAAATATGTAAGTAGTTTTTTTAAGTTTTTATCAACTTGAAAAATTTTGATCAGATCCTAGAATGCTTAAAGGCTAGTTCTTGGGATTTTTAAAGAAAAATTGAATTATTTTGAGTTGTTAGAAAGTCCATAACAATAGTGGATAGCATCAGTAGTACACATAAATTACCTTAAAATTTGTAAACAAAGAATTATGCAAATTATGTGTTGTTCTTTTACTTAAAGTGTTCAAGTTGGGATTTTGATGTCCAAATTAACTTAAAATTTTGTAGACTGATGTAAAATGTTTTGAGATCACTTTTAAAAGTTTTAAAGTAAAATAATTTGTTTTAATTTGTCAAATAAGTTTAAGATTTTATGTAGTACGCCAAAATGTTTGTTGAAACTTTATGCAAATTAAGTGTTGAATTTGGTAATGATTTGATAAGTTAAGGGTTTCAAGAGTTATAAATATGAATTTATAGATAGCAAAATTCAAAAAATTTATTTTATGTAAATATATTTGATATTGTACGTGATGCATGGTCATGATCCTTAAAAGACTAATGTGGATTGGAATTTTAGTTGTATTTATAATTTATAACTGTAATATTAAATATGATTCATGACGTATTTTTCTCTATATTTTTCAATGTAAAAGTTTAATACTTTTAGTTACATAATTAACTACACAAATTAGATTGTATAACACCATTATTAGTTCAAATTAAAAATATAATCACATAATAGATTTAAGTATTGAAGAAGGTGTCAAACTTTTACCAAATTTGCAATTCAAATGCCAAAATTTCTTTACACCCAAATAAGGTCTTGAAGTTTTGAAATTTCTCAAATAAGGTTCTAATTGAATGGAATTTTAAATGTTTATCAAATTTCACATAATATCATTCATTGTCTATTCTTTCCCTTAATATGTGACATATCATGTGGACTTGTAACACTAACTATATAAAAAACAGTGTAACATGACATGCTTGTGATGGGATTTTTCCCTTCGTAGACATTAATTGGGTCCACCAAGCCCCTTTGCCCTACTACTTTCCTATCTCATGAATAGTTAACACTTACAAAAAATCTTATACTTTTCTCTATAAGTTGTCAATGGAAAATGATTTTTGAGGATGTGAGATTCAATTTGAGGTTCTAGTGGTTGGTAGGGTTTCAAGCAAAGGTTCAAAGATTTTAAAAATTCTTTATGTTTGTGTGTGTGTTAAATAGGGTACCGATATAGGTGTATAGTTCTATATAGATTATTAGATGAGATTAATTTTTTATATGATTTTTTACTCTATTTGCGCTTTATTCATCTTTTTGTTCCTCTTGTGCTTAATTTCTTTATTAGTATTATTATTATTATTATTGTTTTCAATTATTTAAATTCATGAAGCACATATAATAATTATTATTAGTTCTATTAGGCAATTATTGTGTACATTTATTCATTATGTTATATTTTTTTATTTTTTTATCACATTTTTTTGTATGCTTTAAAGTTATATATATTTGATAGTTGTAGAGGTTGCTTTCATTTTTTTATTCAATTCATAATCAATTTCATTTGTTTTTATAGAATGAATAATAGAAAATTGACCTTCTACAGTAAAAGAAATTTAAGGTCTTGGTGCTAAGTATGTTGGGGGATAAATATTTACTCGAAAAAAATGCTAAAGACAATTAAGTTATTTTAAGATTTGGGACATTGTAAGAAAGGAATTGCAACTAGAATTTTTAACCCTATATTATAGAATCTTGGAGTTGATTTATAACATGGATCAATAGTAATTATAACTAATATTAATACGTTATAGTTGACATGATAGTTAATTATAGTAATATTGAGGTTTATATTTATAATGAACCTATCTATATTCTATTAAGTGCACATAATAGTATTAATAAAGTTATTGAAATTGATGATGAGGATGAAGATGATCAAGGTATAATGGTGAAAGTGATTAGGTTAACGAAGATGATATATAACACTCTAGTTTTGATAAAGAAAATTTATCTAATAAATCATTTGATATACATTGGATGAATGAAAAGTTTCACCTCATTAAAGTTGAATATACTACATGCTTCTCTAAGGATGTAAAGGTCAGTTTATAAGATGCATAAATGTCACGCCCCAGAACCCAAATCCGGGACGTGGCAGACGCCGTACACTCATGAGACGGGTCCCACAAGTGCACAAGGCTCAAAACTTATTCAATTCACACTTTGATACCATCAAAATCTGAAGATCAAATCTTTAAATTTACTCTGATATCATAAAATCTCCAAATGCACTCTAGTTTACAAGATCATGATCTATTTCTAAAGTCTATATCAATCTCGAAATGGCTAGCTTTCTAACTCGTCACTTCCCGTGGTTTCCCGTTCTTGGTTTTCATTTCCTGAAATGGTGGACAAGGAAAAACTATGAGATAAACTCAATAAATAAAATATGGAGTACCCCTTATTAAACTTATAGCATGCCAACATGTGCAATCACACAAAACAGATACAGTACGGGAACGAAATAGACATCTCCTCTATAGGTCATGGCCAGTGTATTAAACTTCCCACTGGCAGGCACACGATTTACTAGTGTATAATCCCCACTAGGAGGGCCACTTGTACGAACCGGTTCTATCACTAACATATCGACATGTGCTAACATGTGCTAACGTTTATAAACTCCCCCACTAGTAGGGTCACTAATAGCATGACCACATCGGAGACAAAACAGGCAGAAGTTAACAAAAAAATCATACTTTACCAATCACTTTCAAATCATCAGGACAATCACTTAAATTTCAAGTAGGCATGCTCAATTTAATGAAAAGCATAAAAATTCCACTTCAAATCAGTCATACTTGCGTAAAACGGGTTTAGTCTCGCCACCACTTCAAAAACAAATCAAAACATGTTTTTAAAAACAGTACGGGCATTACCATAAATTTACTTACCTCACCCGCATAAAACCGAGCACTCAATCTCAGTGTTAACTGATAGAACGATCGGGAACCTAATCAAAATATCCAGAATTAATTATCGTACTATCACATATTCAAACTGAAATCATCATTAGGATCATCCCCTAATCACAATGCTATTTCCATAAATCTCCACATGATCAAATATCTCCAAAATCGTTCTCATATCACAAACTAATCATTTAAATCCCCATTAATGGTTGGCCCTCAGTGTGTGAACAGTGTCCATGAACAGTACCATGAACAGTACCATGAACAGTACCACGACGTGAACAGTAACTGCACTTCCAAAAATTGTCCACCACACTAGCTAATCACGGGGTTTTCTCTCCAAAAATCACACATCAATCAATTAACACTCAATCACATAAATTCACTTGAATCAAGCTAAATCATGGTCTAATTACTATCAATTTTCTCCCCTAATTAATCCAGAATTTCGAACACAAAGGGCAGCAATTAAATGGCTAAACTTGCACTTAGAGAAGCTGCCACATACCATAATTCTCCAGTTGTAGAAACCGGAGCTGCAGGGGGGAAGAGGCCGGCGGCAAGCTGCAAGGAAAGCTCACGGGTTTACCCAAAAATTGGAGGAACAAGAGCAATTAAAGTAAACCCAGGGCAATTCAAAGCTAGAGAAGGGAGAATTCGAGCTATTTCTTACCAAAAACCGAACAAATCACACGCACAAAGCAGGAGCAGCCGGACGGTGAGGAGCAGAGCAAGGCAGATCCGGATTTTCCAGCAGGGGGGAAAGATTTATGGGTTCCATTTCAGTCTTAGAACAAGAAAAGAAGGCCAAAAATCAAGCTCTCTATCGGTTTCTCAAAGGCTGGTGCCGGGTTCCCCTTTCTTTTTTTTTTGCTCGGTGCAGGGGAAGAAAAGAAGAAGGGCAGAATCGGGAAATGGCTGGGGAGAAAGAAGGAAAAAGGAGAAAAGAAATAAGCCATCCTTATCCAAATTCTTTCCCCTTTTAAGTCCCTCACTTAGCAAATTTTGGCTATTAAGCCCCAACATAATATTTCCTCTCATAAAAGTCCTTAACTCACTTATTTATTCTACAAAATTTTGGGGTATCACAATAAATAAGACAAGAGACAACATATGGTGATGACAATGCAAAAGAAGATGTTAGTGGTTGCTTTTTGACATATCTATATCAAAGTACTCAAGATAGGTTTTTATGTTGAGATACATGCCTTGGGTGATAGCCATGATGGAGAATTTTTTTTTTTTTTTAACCAAAGAACAAGTACAAATTTTATTAATAGAAGTACAGTGGTTATTCTAGCTCTTGAAATTATTTTTTATGTAAACCTATTAATAGTAGAGAAATATCACCTTTTATCTTATACAAAAAAATTATGTAATTTTTTCAACTTAAGGAATTAACATTGTAATAAAACCTATGGATTTCTACATCACATGTTAAGAGAAAAAACTAGCTATAGAGAAAAAAACTAGCTATTTTGAACTTTTAGACAATAAAATGTTCTTATCTTGATCAAATCTATGATTTCCTCCATGTTATTGATATTAATTTTTAACAAAATTTGATTTCTGTATAACTATGTATACCATAATGTAATATACCAAACTATAGACTATATTTTTATGAAATTATTGTTAATAAACAACCTAATATGTTGTAAGAAATGATGTTTATTTATATAATGTGGCTATTTCATGACCCTACCCATTTTAACAAATTCTTTAAATTTTCCAAGATTCAATGCAAGAAAATTGGACATGATATGTACCTTCCTTATATTTATGGTACAATATACATTGTAAGTCATTGTTATTATTCTAAGGATACCCTTCTAATGCAAGTTTGACCTTGTTGGTTTTCTATTTGAAAGGTTATTTAAGGAAAATGTGATATTTTGGATTCTATCGATGGAATAGTATAGATCTTGATGAGTTGTGCAAGCAAATATGATGAAGAGTTAATTAATATATATATATATATATATATATAATAGTTTATATTTTAAAGGCAAAAATAGGCATTAGATTGGTTTGATGGATAGAAGTTCTAATAGCCTTTGATAAAGGTCAGGAAAAAGTTTTTGAGAAAGCTTGTTAATGAGGAAGTTGTGATTAATATACTATCTTATTTATTGGTTTTATAGCTAGTTCTAAAAGAGAGAGACCGGAGACTTTATTGATAGTAATGATTTAGGGGAATATGTTTCAAATTAAGATGACAAATCTTTTGTAGTTGATAATGTTGTTAAAGTAAAAATATCTTGAATTTGGGATGCTTTCACTTGTAAAGTGCTACATTTTAAACTTGGGGTGGAACTTGTGTTTGGGATTATTATGAAGTTTTATGGCTATAAGTTTTTTAGTATTCAACTATAAGAAAATTATGTTATTATTTGATAATTGCTTTGAGAAGAATCTTGTTTATTAATATAATAATGAAATTATACAAAACATCAATTATAATTAATTTTATTATAATAAATTTAACACTTTTATAAGGCACTGCGTGAAAAAACATTGTGGAAAACAACCTCAAATGCAATTGAAATTTGAAAATTAGAAGTAATTAAGGAAATGTTATTCCACTATTTCATATATAAAGGTTTTCCATTGCAGTGGTTGAATACTACTAACAAGTAAAGAGTTAGATGTGAGGCTTCAAATTATTTATGGTATTTATTTGTAACTCATCAAAAGAGAGATGACAGCTTCAAAGTTATTGTACTTGTTAAAGAGTATATTTGTATCCAAAACAACAAAATAATATAATAACTATGAGACTAATTACAAAAGATCTAAATTAAATAATCAAGTTGTATTAGGGGTTAGAATACTGAACTAATGGATTTCACAAAGATTGAACTTAATCCAGTGATTAAAAACAATAAAATAGCAAGAGGAAGAAGAATGGTTCATCAAGAATTGGAAGGTAATTATAGAAATGTGCTTAGGGCATTGAGGTGGCAAGCAAAAAATGCTGCAAGAAAGTAATTCATATACTTTTTTTCATTTTGAAGATTTGGTAAGTGCCCAATTGACCAATTCTAGATTTCAAGAGAATATATGTTTGCATTAATACTTTAAAACATGGGTGGTTAGCTAGTTGTAGGTCAATTATAGGTATTGATGGTTGCTTCCTCAAGGGCATTTGCCAAAGGATTTCAGCATTAACTCTAGAAAGAGATGAAAATGATTTGATGTACCCTTTAGTAAGGGTTGTAGTTGAGTTTGAAAATAAAATATTATAGAAATGGTTTTTAACACCCAAATTGAAGGATGGAATTGGTTTTATAATTATATTCGATCAACATGTTATAAGTGTATCTATGTGATAATTATTTTAATACTTGTTTTTTTATAAGTTATATAATCCCTTTCTATGAGTTTGATTTTCTAGTCTTAAAAACTTCATTTTAATTCTTGCAATTATATCCAAACTTAACGCCTTTGAGTGTGATTCTCACTATAACAAAGAAATATATATATATATATATATTTCATATATATATGTTTGTGAGTCTAATTTTGTAAACTTGATTTATTATGCATTTAGATTTATGTATTGTATAGTTAATTTATGTATAGTTAGAGTTTCTTTATTTATGTAGTTAAATTTTAAAATTTGCATTCAAGTTTTCTTTATCTAAATGCTTAAGAAGCCATTGAACATTTAAATTTTTTAATTTTGTTTTATAGGGCATTTTAGTAGTTGCAAAATTGGTTTCCCTAAAGTTAATAACTCAAGTTAAGCACAAATATTGTGCTAGGCATATATGCAGTTTGGGAGGATAATAGTAGAGATGATTAAAAAAAAAATCATACTTTTGGATTATAGTAAAAAATACTTATGAAGAGGAGTTTTGTCACGCCCCAAAACCAAGAGCGAAATAGACACCGTGCACTCGGGAACGGGTCCCACAAATGCACAAGGCTCGAAACTTACTGAGTTCATAATTACTAATTCAGATGATTCAGATTTAGAAACTCGAGTAATATCTAGTTTCTTTTTCTTTTTTTTTTTCTAAATATTTACTAGTCAAAATATACAAGGATTTATAACTTCATTTATACAATCATGACTATAACTAAGGGAGTTCTGTACACAAAAATTTCTAAGTCATCATGGGTGACTAGCGGCCTAGCTACAAAACTTAAGTCCAAAATAATGCATAGCCGTCTAGCTTATCACTCCCCCGGGCTCCCCATACGTCAGGTCTCACTACCTGAAATGGTGGACAAGGAAAACTGTGAGATAAAATATCTCAGTAAGTAAATATGGATGCCCAGGATCAAAATTTAAAGCATGCTAAATAAATAGTTTAAACATAAATAGAGCATCTCAATAACAAACCATTAATGCAAAATAAAATTAAATAGTGGTCTCCTCTATTAGTCATGACCAGTGTTATAAACCTCCCACTGGCAGGCACATGATTAGTAGTGTATAATCCCACTAGTAGGATAACACGAGCGAACCGGTTCTATCAATAACATGTCGACATGTGCTAACGTTTATAAACCTTCCACTAGCAGGCACACGAATAACATGACCATATCGGAGACAAAACCAAGCAAATTTACAGAAAAACCACGATTCATAATCGTTCTCACTTTCAAGAATAAATCGAAAGAATCTCACGTGGGCATGCTCAATTCTAGAAAATAAGGAAAATAATAAAAGTTCCATTTTCATTTTTAATCATGCTCAAATGCAATTAAATCCATTTAAACCTTGCCACCATCTTAAAAACAGTTAAAATATGCTTTAAAATTTAAGGGCATTACCATAATTTACTTACCTTAATTGCACAGGACAAAAGGCTTAACCCAAGTGCTAGGGTCACAGCACGATCAAGTACCTAATCATAATATTTCCGAATTAATATCTATAAAGAAATTTTATTTCTTTATTTATTTTTATTTTTCTCCTATTCGAAATTTGAGCACACAACATTAGATTATGCATTTATATATATATATATATACATTGTTACACATATACAATTTTTCCCAAATTCATGGACAGGAAATGGGAGAATCGGTTTTGACAAAAAATGGGCAAGTCACGGAATTTTCCTCTTTTCTTCCATACATCATCACAGCAGCCCAATTAAAGGAGTTTTTACATAAATTGACTTAAAATTCATTGCAAGGCTACCGGAAATCAATCCCCCACTTCCAGCAGATTTTCGGACAACCCAAGCCCATTTCATACAACCACTTAAACTCACAAATCAGCACTTAATCAA